CCCACACTCACACTCGCACCCACACCCACACTCACCCACACCCACACCCACATCCACACCCACACCCACACCCACACCCACACCCATCTGTTACAAATCGATAAAATTAAATAGGATGTTGTCTCTTCGAATTGTTTGCAAGAAATAAAAGCTTTCAGCTTAATTCCTACAGTATTAAAATGTGAATCACGATGGAGCCGATTTAACTCTAACTGAGAGACTCTTTACTTCTGTCGCACTCTGTTCGAGATTAAGATCCACCCTTAGAAATTTCTTTCAGACCGTGATAGACATTTTGATATGCCTGCCACGGTCTGTGAGCGGAGATCCAAATTTCTCGTTCTACATTTTCAATACTCATTTTTCAATCGTGTTTCACAAGATAAACAACGACTTGTTACTTGTATTGCAAGTCTACTGACGGTTCAATTGATGATAAATATTTCTCTGAGAGCATCTGATCTGCATTTTGTTCATGTCATCGTACAATGTCTCACATCAAAGTTATTTATTCTTGTCTTGGATATGACAAAAGTTTTGTTTAGTGACCAAAGATGTTTGTTTTTTTATAGTTCAGTTTGATTCAAGAGTTCATTCTGTATATTGTCTGGGTTGTTAAGCTCATTTGTGGTTTGATTTGTTTGCCCTAACTTGAACTGGTAAATTTGAATGAATATCATTGGAGAATACATGTTTTGCTCGTGACACTCGATGATGTTTCCCTCAGGTTTGTATTATGAGGAAGTTCCAACGATGGATTCAAATCAATAGACAATGAAGTTGATTGTGAAAATGGTGAATAAACTTCTTCAGCCATATTCCTCAATGTTGGTTCAGTAGTGTGAGTTAACACAAATCTGTTATTCAATTCAGTAATATTTGCCTCGCATCGTGTTATGTTTTCATGATTCGATCCATAGTTAGCTCGATAGATGGATAAACTTTCATTGAAATACCGAAGTGCCTCTGATGGCTTGTTCAAGGCTTTGTAAAATAAACCGATGTTTTCTAGTAAATACCCAATGTCCATGTGATCCGCTGGTAGAGATTGACGAGCAAGATCGAGTGCTCTGAGTCCAAAATGTAACGCTTTTCCATATATCTGGTTAGTACTGTATAAGGACGCTATCGCTTTAAGACAGATTATGGTTAATTTGTGATCAAGCGGCGTGTATTGTTTGAGAATAGATAAAGCTTGTTGATAATGGGCAAGTGCTTCACTTGGTTTCTCGTGTTCGAGCAGATTCGCCATAGTAGTTAGTATCCAAGCTACAGACGGATGTTGATCACCAAGAGTGCTCTTTTGATTATTCAATTTTTCTCGACACAAGTTCACCGCCTTTTTCATGTTACCCATCTTCTTATAGGTTTGAACAATATGGTCGAGATGTGTCGCACGATTTGGATGATTGAGTGGCAAACAATTTTCCTCCATATCTATTTGTTCATGATAATATTCGAGTGCATGACCGAAATCGCAGCTTTTTTCATGAATATATCCAATTGCACCAAGACAGCCGGCGATATACAAGTGATGAGCAGGTAAGACACGTTTGAACATGTCAAGAGCACGGAACAAATAGACCAGAGCAGTATCAAAATCATCTTTATCAGTATATATCCGACCAATGTATTCCATATTAATTGCTTTGTTCACATGATCATTTGGATAGTTCTTCTCAAAAATTGTTAGCGCTTGTTGACAATAATGGAGAGCTTGATCTAAACATCCTTTATGTTTGTAAATTGTTCCAATATTCTGAAGAGAAGACGCTACATGCGGATGATCAGACGATAATAGCTTTTGACGGATTGTGTAAGCAAGTTCGTAGTTCTTCAATGCTAAATTAAGCTCGTTTCGTTCGCTATGCACATTTCCAAGATTGCTATAAACATCTGCAATATTTTCATGATCTGGTGGAAGTGAATCAAGTAACAGCTGAAAATATTTTCCAGCTTGATCTACTTGCCCCATTTCATTTAAAAGAAATTGACCAAAATAGATGATTGGTGGATAATCATCTAGGTGTTTCTTTACAGAAGTAAGATATTCTTGAATCATCTCTGATCCTCTATCCGTAGTAATCAATTTTATTTTCCATAAATTCAATCGAGAATCAAAATTGACGGATCCAATTTCGAAGAGAGTATTTAAATTGAAGAGTACTTCTTCTTCGTCCTCATTTCGAGTTTTATGCTCAATATCAGCAAAAGTAACCGATTTTAATGTAGGATCAGCTTCGATTTCAAATAGAACCGGTCGATCATTGTTGGCGGTCGGGGTCTGCTTTATGAACCGAAGTGAAACTTCGATGCTACGAGAAGTGGATAAAAATCCATTAGTTGATATCACTTGACCTTTGTTTCGTTCGAGTTTTTCTAATTCTTCGTTGGGAATATTTGCGCCACGAAACAAAGTGAGAACTGATTTTTCTCTCAATCGAAGATTGTCAGTTTCTATTGCCGCACATAAATCGATGACAAAGAATCGAAATATATATAGAAGGCCCAGATCTTCAGTACGAAGTGCTTTATTTAATAATTTGTACAGAAAACATTCGTCTGTGTACCATTGGACCGCCTGATCAGCAGTGTATTCCTTACGAAACTGATCGATTTTCGTTAACTGTTCGCTATTATCGCGATAGTAGTCAGTGCATACCCTAAGCATATCATATTTTGATTGTTGATCTTGTGGCATTTGTTTGAGAACATAGATCAACATTTGATTCAAAATAAATGATGCTGATTCTTTGGATAAATCTTTTCCTAATTTTTGTTTCTGATCGAAAAGATTAAATGCGAGTATTTGCTTTTCTATCAGATTCATAATCTTCTGAATTGATTCAACCAAAGCATCTTGATCAGTAAAAATATCAACAATTTTGTCATATTTCTTCAATAAATGTACATGATATTGACGATTGCGACTGGAACAGAAAATGAAAATAGCAACAATAGATCGATAAGTAGAGATTTTCGGAAGAATTTCTCGAGCGACGGCCCCCGAAATAATCAGAAAAACAAACTCATCTTTTATTGATTTGATCAGATCGAGACATCGATTGACGTCTGAATAAAATTGAGCTGCTGGGTTCAGTTCGATTAACAACGATTGAGTGTATTGACAGTCACCTGAATCATCGATATGTTGATCAAGCCAAATCAATTGAATATCTTCTTTGTTCTTTGCAATTTCGTTCGGATGAAGATTTCGTCGCTCTTTTTCAGATGAAATAATGGTAGCCATTGAAATAATGATAGTTTATTTTCTGAAGAAACACAGTAATTTGTAGAAGAGTATTTATCTAGAAATACGGAAGGATCACGCTGTTTTGATCCTGGTTTCAAAACTAACCTGATTTTCAGTCCCGATCTCAGTCCCATAAAATCGCTTGCCTCCTGTTTCTGGTGGGTGTCCGGATAGAAAAGATCTAGTAAGAATACAGAAAATTTTTTGCGGAAGGCAAGATGTTAGAATTCCTCTGTTTTACAAGAGATTATCTTACACAGAGCCTGTTTCACCTTAACTCTCTCGGCGTGATTGTGTGGGGTGCAGGTGGGTGTAAGTGTGTGGGTGTGGGTGTTGATAAAGTAGAAACTCATCCTCAGACTCAGACTCACACCCATATCCTTAAGATCTGCCAAACACTGTCTTTGATACTCGGGCCAAATCACAAAAATTGATCCATGTCGAACACTGTTCAATACAGAGAACATTGGAGGGTAAACCCATGGGAATCCAACCACTTTTTGAAAGATTTTTTTAAATAGATCTGTTTTTCCTAGAAAGCTCGCCGGGGCGCAGAAAACGTATTTGGGAAAAAAATTGATAATCTTTTAACAAAAAGCTTCAGTTCTAAACCATTTTCTCGGAAGATATACATGATTATTGCATATCTTACGCATTCAACCCATGAATGGCCTACTACAATTCGAGTGAAGATTTTCCTTCGATTGTTTTTTTTCCAGAAAGCTCGTCGGTGTACAGGAAACATGTTTGGGCAAAAAACTGATAACTCTTCATGCAAAAATCTTGAGTTGCAAGCAGTTTTCTTGGAACATGTACATGCAGATTCCAGATAATTAAGAATTTCCAAACCTCTTTAGGATTTTTAGACTTATTCTTTTCTAACCAACGTTGAGTGTATAGAATCTAAATCCTCAGCTTCTGAATATGACACTACATCAAACAAGGAGCAGCATAGAGATGATTTCGATTGTCGATAGAAGTGAAACTTGAATAAGTCCGTGTTGATTTTCGTACCCAATGACATTTGTAAAGACGGAATCTCGGGTGCGATGATTTTCGTTTTCAAACGAATAAGAAGTTGGGTTGACTCATGGATCATTCGTAGAAAAGACTTGAATCATTTTCTTTCACTTTGTATTATTTGTGAGATAAAATCGGCATGCCGAGACGAAAGTGTTGTCAGCATCCAACTACACTCAACGTTGGTTAGAAAAGAATAAGTCTAAAAATGCTAAAGAGGCTTCGAAATCCTTAATTACCTGGAATCTGCATATACATGTTCCAAGAAAACTGCTTGCAACTCAAGATTTTTGCATGAAGAGTTATCAGTTTTTTGCCCAAACATGTTTCCTGTACACCGACGAGCGTTCTGGGAAAAAGCTTGTTAGCGCAGGCCCTTTGGGGCTGCGATGTGGAAGTCCCGTATATACTTCAGCTTCATTATACTAATATGCAATATAGATAGTATAAAATCATGAATTCTTAATTTTCTGACAGGCGCCCTTATTTTTCGTCTTCTTTGTTGCTATTCGCTCACGAGGGAACATATCCAGGTGTCGGAATGGTTTTGTGTCGAGACTTAGCGCATCTTATAGACCTTTGTGAACTATGTCTACCGTAAAAAGAGTTCGGGTCCATGTGTTGTTCCTGGTGAGATATTGAGGTTTTGGTGAATTTCCTCTATAGGACCCTACTTTTCTAGCACAACCTTATTTTCGAATTTTTGACATGAAACTTTGCTCACATAAAGACCTCAGCTAGACTAGCTTGCAAAACAAATTTCAGAACTCTTCGACGAAGTCTCTCAGAGATATTAAGATTCCAAGATATAGGCTCTTTTCCACTGATAGCGTATACAGCATGGATCTTTTGAAGTCTTCATATTTCGAAGGGACTTCGTCGAAAAGCCCTGAAATTTGTTTTGCAAGCTAGTCTAGCTGAGATCTTTATGTGGACAACGTTTCATGTCAAAAGTTCGAAAATAAGGTTGTGCTAGAAAAGTAGGGTCCTATAGAGAAAATTCACCGAAACCTCAATATCTCATCGGGAACAAGTCATGGGCCCAAACTCTTTTTACGGTACACATAGCTCACCGAAGTCTATAAGGTGCGCAAAGTCCCGACTCAAAATCGCTCCGACACCTGGATATGTTCCCTCGTCAGTATTTTTCATTTTTAACATCGCTTTTTTCTTTAATTTTACATTTTTATTATAAGAAGCATTGAATTATATGGCAAATGAAGCTATTATATACAGGGGTTCCCAAAATTATAAGACCCCCCCCCCCCCCCTACAAGTTTGAGAATAATAAAGTTTTCACCAACTAAAGAAGCTTTGATAAGGGATCTAATGCCATATATATAGACACCGCTAAAGCATCTATCATGTGCCATATTGATCTCTATTTAGTTAAATATTAATAATATTTAGATTCAAGAAATTTTGAATTTCACTTGTTGCATAATTATAAGACCCCCCTCTCAGGAGTATAAAAGTATTGCCTTAATGTTCATTTTTTTAAGTCAAAAAAAATCTTGTCAGTATCTATTCGAAAGAGGAGATAATTAGTTATTTACTGAAAAAAATATAGACTTATATAAGCTATACTTTAACTTTTCTATGGTCGAAGAAACTAAAGGGTGAAAAACCTATATCCCACAATAACCCTATTTTAGCTCAAAAAAAGGTTTCCACTTGTTTAATATAATAAAACTAGATTTAAAACTATACCATTAGATAGAGCATTAAAAGTTGTATAGTCCACATATTTATTGACAACAAACTTTGAAGACATTAATAATTGTGAAAAGATAAAATAAAGATAGTCAAGATAAAGTATTTTGTAAGAAACTTATGAAAAGAAAATTTATTTTCATATAAAAACCAGACGTATTTTTTTTCAAGGGTACCATAAGAAAGAGCGTCAAATTCTACGCCAACTAGATTACTTCTTTTTACAGACGCTTATCTCTGAACGTCCGGGAACTTAGTCTCAAAAAGGAGACAAATCAGTCTCATTATGCCAAAACATAACATATGCTAGTGATATCACGAAAGAACATGCTTCAACAATTTTTAAACTAAAATACTGAGAAAAAAAAATCTTATCTTGTTAAAATTTTTTTTCCCAGCATTTTACTTCAAAAATTGTTGAAACATGATCTTTCGTGATATCACTAGCATATGTTATTTTTTGAGTCTATGGGTTTTTTTATTTAAATTTGAATTTTGACACAAAAAATAACACCTCATTTTTACCAAGACAGAGGGACTAAGGGACTAAAGGGACTAAAGGGACTAAAGGGACTAAGGGACTAAAGGGACTAAAGGGTCTAAGGGACTAAAGGGACTAAAGGGACTAAGGGACTAAAGGGACTAAAGGGACTAAGGGACTAAGGGGACTAAGGGTAGGAATAATGGTGTACACAGAGACGTGCATGGGTCGCGGCTCTTCGGGGAGCGCTTTGCGCCCCCACGCCGCGACGCTGAAATAAAAGGTGTGTTAAGTGGGGAAACGCGCTTCCCCACTGAATAGTCCGCTTAGTCCCTTAGTCCCCTTAGGGTCAAGAAAAGTGAGCATCACCTGGGATGCTAGTAGCATCACCTGTGATACTACAGCCATCACCTATGATGCCAGTGGTATACCAGGTGATGCTACTAGCATCCCAGGTGATGCCACTAGCATCCCAGGTGATGCTAGTAGCATTCCACGTGACCCTACTAGCACCCCAAGTGACGCCCCTCGCATCACAGGTGATGCCTCTAGCATAACAGGTGATGCCTCTAGCATCCCAGGTGATGCTACTGGGATCCCTGGTGATGCTACTAGCATTCCAGGTGATGCCTCTAGCATCTCAGACGATGCCTCTGGCCTCACAGTTGGTTTCTTTGGTGAGCTCCTAATTTGAAATTTACGCAGTTTGGAGCTCACTTTTCTTGACCTCGCCTTAGTCCCTTTAGTCCCTTAGTCCCTTAGTCCCTTAGTCCCTTAGTCCCTTTA